AACAATTACATACATACACTAATACATTACATACTATATAGAGATACAATACACGATAACATAAGAGAACACACAATAAAGAGAAACATGGAGGAAGATACAATACACGACAAGGTGCTATAGCATGGAACAACTACAGGATCTAACTATACCGATGAATCACTAACACATTGTTTGAAACAAAAGGTGATAGATATATTGGGTATACATGATCATAATAATGTGGATCTTCACGACTTGCAATCATTGAAGGGGTCGCGTTTGGTTCCCAGAATCTCTTGACAGGGGAGCGTTTAGTATTGGATCTAGCCATCACATTATGTCTTAATACTCAATTAAGGTAATTATACAATAGTAGTCACTTATTACAAATACTACAGTACTTACACTTTACATATGCCAAGTACAAAAGGATACAATTCCAGTTTATATATTATTATTACCTTTACTTTGTGTCATATTCACATTGTCGATGAGGTAGATTAGATTTGAATAATAATAGTTGTACAAGGAAAAGCCTTCACTTAAGTAGAGGTTCAAACTTTCCAAAACAATCGAGTCTTGGTAGAAGGCTACTTTCAAAACAGTCAGGTCTTGGTATAAGGCTACTTTCAAAACAGTCAGGTCTTGGTAGAAGGCTACTTTCAAAACAGTTGGGTCTTAGTAGAAGACTACTTTTTATACTAGTAGGAAATATGGGATTTTCTAGGGTTTTCAAACGTTTACAATTACTTACAAACATTTTTGTACTTATACAAACTTTTCTTCAAACATTTACAAGTCTTTCCTTTACAACTTTTTTACAGGTCTAAGACATAAATACTTATGGATACACCAGCTTTATTGCTGACACTCGCTTTCAAGATAACTTGTATTCTCAGGTCACAAATAGACATGTACGACGATCAGGTTTTGTGAAGATGGAGCAGTCAAGACTCATCTTTTATTTTGAGTATTCATTATGTTGTTTTATACTATGAAAGAACATACTTGTAATTAAAATTATACTATTAATGCAATGGATGATGTTGTTGCTTGTTTACTACTTTGCATTGTTGTGATACTTTACATGATGTCCTCCGCCCCAGAACGTTTCCGTCGTTCTTGGTTTTGGGGCGTGACAAAAACGAATGTGGTTCAAGGCATTTCGTGTGCTAGGTATTGGATTTGATACTTGCTTATTTCTATTAAAAAAGAAGGAATTGTTGTACCTACTGATGAATAAAAAGCTGAGTTTATGAAGTATCACTTTCCAAAGGAAGTTTCGGATGATATGGAAGTATTCACACACATTGCCAGGATTCCTGATGCAATGCTAAAAACGGTTGAACCAACAAATTTGGTGTTGATTGTGTACTTGAAAACCATCAATCCTGATTTTGAGACTGGAAAGTTATTGTCGAAAGAAGAGGCTCGTCCATCAAAGAAATCAAAACGCTCTAAGAAGGATGCAAAGACTACACCTGAGAAGCCAGTGCACGAAACTAAGAAGTCTCCTAAGAAGCTTGTGCACGAATCAAAGAAGTCCTAAAAGAAGCCTGAGATGGTAGAAGTTAATGTTTCAACTGTTTTCATAAAAGCAGTGGAACCTGTTGATAATACTATAGCCACAGAGAAAATTCCTTCCAAATCTGGTTTTTTCGATGATTAAAGATGCGGTATAGGGGTTCATGAAAATCTTCTCCTTCAAATGTTTGTAAACGACAACTTTCTCATCAATGAGTCGTTTTCGTGAGGTTCCAACTCTATTTTCGCGTTTGTCAAAGATACGTAGAGCTGAAGATATGGCTAAACACGTTTCAAAGAAGAAGAAAAGGCAACGAAAACTGGTTCTACAAGAGGAGTCATCTACAGAAGAGGTAGTTCCCGAAACACCATAAACAATTATTTTTCAATATCTATCCACTCTTGAGAAGACTATTGTCATACCACCCGAAGTTTCGTTAAATGAATCACATACTGAGGAGGTTCGAAATTTGGGCATTTTTACCCACATATCTGATACGGATGTAAATGTCAATATGGGTGAGGGAGAGTCTAACAAAGAAGTTGGTTTTACAACTCAAGGTATTCCTGCATCTTCGATAACATATACTTTTGTATCCTTACCTCCTTTTATTGTTACAAATACTAAAAATTCACGTACCCTTGAGAACATTCTTCATCAACCTTTTACAACTCTTTTTCCATCTCAATCCACTGATTCACCCAAAATCGATTAACCTGTTAAAAGTCCACCTATTGTTGGAGCTAATACTGACAACGAAGGTTTTGGAGGCATGTTTGAAGATTTGCAGTTTGATGATGAAGAAGATAAATTTCCTAATCATATGTTGATAAGGATGAAACAATTCAAGATTCTCAATAAGAAATCAAATTCTATTCTTCAATCTCAAGTAGATTTGGGGAGTAGTTTGTCTGTGTCTATTATGGAAGTTGATGATTTATTAAAAACATTCGAAGCAAAGGTGGCGAGTAAATTTTCTAGAATGGTTCGAGACTCAGAGGTTAGACTCTTAGAGAAGGTTGATCACAATGATAAGAATGATGAGTTAAGATTGAATTCTATAACTTAGATGCTTAGAGGGGAGGTGAAGGAATTCAAGAATTTGGTAAAGGATGTCAAGAAAGTTAGGGAGGATGTGAATTTGAAAATTCAGGAGCTTCGTCAGGATATGCAAAAGGACAATACTATTGTGAAAGAAAGTTAGGGAGGATGTGAATTTGCAAATTCAGGAGCTTCGTCAGGATATGAAAAAGGAGATTGCTATTGTGCAACGGGATTATGCTTCGATCAATCAAAAAGTTGACATTATTTGTGATGCTGTTACCAAATATGTCAAGTTGTACGAAGATTTGCATCCTCAAGTTACTCACCTTTCTACAACGGAGAATCAAAGGTTTATGGAAGTACTCAAGCTGCTGAAGGAATTAAAAGATTTAACTATTAAACCAGTTTCATCTTCCTTGATTACTCCGGAATTTTTGTCTCAGAAGTTCGTTCATTTTGAAGCCATACTACACAATCAATTAGCTCCTCTATCTCACATTTTGAGCCTTCTTCCAACGAATGCCCCACCTGTTTTCACAGGGGTGCAAGGGGGAGAGAAGAATGTTGGTGGCACGAAGGCTGGTGGTGAAGATTTGCATGCAGATAAAAAGGTTGTTGGAACGGTGTTTTATTCGAAGATTCCAATAACAAAACCAATCATGTCAATAGTTGGGCCAGTTACTTCGACTATTGTGACAACAATGCCAATTTCAACGAAGCCAATTTCAAAACCAATTTCCAAAGGAATTGTGATTGGGGAAGGTGGTAGCATTTCAAAGACTAAGGAAGTTGTGGATAATTCCTCAGTTAAAGACAAAGGAAAAATGATTATGGTCGAAAAGTCAAAGGAGGAAAAGAAAGTTGAAGCAGAGGCTGAGGTTGAAAAGCTATGAATTGTGCAAAGCATTATGCGACTTCATGCAAACGATCCACTTGGAATGAACAAGGGTGATCCTTCAAAGCAATAAAACTATGAAACGATATAGTCAAAAGTTGCATATAATCATATGTATGCTTTCGAAAAGAAGTCAAAGCAAAGCTATGTTGTTCCCAACACAGACATGAGTCAATTGGATTTTCCTATTAATGAAATGATATTTATTATGGCTCAGTACAAAATAACTGAGAAATTTGACAATGATGATGAGTATACATACATGAAGATCAGATTTCATGCTGTACTTGGAAAGCTTCCAGACGAGATTTGGTCACTAGTGAAGATAAAGAAGGTGATAAGTATAAAGAGGGATGTGTTATTCGAAAATATGATGCAGAATCTTCGCTTCATTGTTTCGAGGGCAAATGGGAAAGTTTGTTAATTCTCAGTGGCAAATTTTCCTTTGATGAAATTGTATGATCTGATACAAGTTGCATTGTTGTTAAAGGATAAAGATGCTTCATCTCTTAGAGAAATTTATCCTGAAGTTTTTAGACATGGGTTGGCTCACATCAAGATTTTATTAACTATTATAAGTGTTTAGCACTTACAGATGTTGAGTTAGCTACTGCAAAGGGATTGATAGTAAAAGTGCCAATGGAACTTCCTGTAACTCAACCTGAATTAAAGAAGTATGCAGATGGGGAAATTTGTTTAAAGCCGTTTGGCTTAGTCTTTGCTGGGAAGGATAAAAATGGAAAATCTAAAAGATTTTTATTTCAAACTTCTGAAGTGGAAAGATACACAACATCCCAATAAACGAATTTCATTGTTCGTATGAATAGCTACAAGAAGAATAATGAAGGAGATAAGAACGAGATGAAGAAGATTATCTCGTGGGTACACTGAGATTCGAAGGGTTATGTTGTATGCCATACATATATTATTGAACTGACGAAGGTCGACATTATTACAAAGAGGGAGAATGTAAGGGTCAAATTTAACTGTAATATGTCGAAGTCTTTTGTACCCTTCGCATGTTAGTTATGTTTATTTACTAAGGTGTATTTCGTACGGAGCTTAAGTGTCAACGCCTTAGGATTTTTTGTATGCTTTCACTATTCCTATAAATATGGAACTTTAAAGATTTAAATAAGAGTCCTTTACAGAACATTTCTATTTTTCTCTGTAAATGTTGAAAGCATAAATGAGCAGAAACCAGATCTTATTTACATTGTTTGTTCAATCTGCATTCGTTTTACTCTGATTTTGATTAAATACTTGATTCAATGATTCATTAGGTAGTCGAGCGAAAGCATAGGCACCTCTTGGAGACCGTACGAGCCTTGATTTTTGAAGCGAACCTTCCCACTATCTTTTGGGAGGAGTGTATTCTTATGGCTACATACATCATTAGCCGGTTACCTTCCAAAATCATAGGAGAGAAAACTCAATATGAAGTCTTATTCGGACACCAACCGGAATACGATCACATGAGAGTCTTTGGATGTTTAGCCTTGTCACACCACAAAAATGGAACGGTGGAAATGTTCTGGGGTGGAGGACATCATGTACAGTATCACAACAATGCAAAATATTAAAGACAAGCAACAACATCCATTGCATTAATATAATAATTGTAATACAAGCGTGTTCTTTATAGTTTTTAAGACACCCAAAAGTATAATCAAAATAAAAGATGAGTCTTTTATGTGCTCCATCTTCTCAAAAGCTTCATCGGTACCCGTCTGCTGATGACCTGAGAATACAAGTTATTTTGAAACAGTTTATCAGCATAAAGTTGTTGAGTTCATAAGTATTTAGTGTCATTGCTTATATAAAAATGTTTGTAATAATGAATGTAGTAACTGATTTCAAATGTTTGTAAATAGTATACTCCCTAGAAAATCCTATATTTTCCAGTAAAATGTAGTATTCTACCAAGACCCGATTGTTTGTATGTTTGTTCTTTCGTAAATGTAAGGGTTTTCCTTAGTGAAACTATCAGTATGAAAATATAGTTTTAGACTTCACTCATGCAAGGTAATTACAAAATAAATGTAATAGGGGAAAATGATGTTTTACCCCAGCAGTATCACTGCTGACTAATAATGATGAAAATTCATACTCCAGGTAGTATTAAATGTATAATACACCTCAGGGAGTCCGTTTTACCTTTAATTATTAATTGGTTAATTAAAGGTTTGAATGTGAACTCATATGTAACCATGATGATCGACGACTAAATAATTGATGACCCTCCATGTCATATGTAGTGAGGTAACATTCTGTCACTCCTTGGCCTTTTCGCTGGGACTGTAGCTAGTAGTCGAGATGTCAGAGATTCTGTCCCGTATAGATCTATGCACATAATGCCCGCTCTCCCTCCAGGAGGCTCTGGTTACAAAGTGATACCACGATGAAGTGTCGTATCGAGAAGTAGTATGTCACATTCGGTTTATAGTATTCAAAAGGTTGTATAGTATGCCATAGTATAGTGATATTTTCTCTTTACTAGTATATAGTATATTCCTGTATAGTGTATAGTATGTTCTCTTGTATACTGTATAGTGTGTTCTCTTGTATAGTGTACATTATGTATTGATTCTCACTATAGTACTCATGTAGCAACTCGTAAATGTACTGACTCTTGTATGTATCTTTGTAATAGTAGTAATCCCTTAACTATACCTATTATAGTTAAATAGTAATGTGGTTTGTATGACTTTGCTACACAAAGGTATTGGACTGAAGTGAAAGCTTTTGTAGCCAACATATATATAAATATATATATATATATATATATATATATATATATATATATATATATATATATATATATATAACTAAGATTTAACGACATTCGGACAAATAACAGGATACCCTAAGTCCACAACTAAACAATGAACAGGAAATAAGGTGAACTATCAGTCTTAAGTCCTTCAAGCCTTACTTATATACATATATTAGTGTAGATATGAGTTTGAAAACAATATAAATTTAAAAGAGTTTGGAAATAATTTTAGTATCTAAAAGAGTTTAATAAAAGGGGTTTTGAAGTACTTGGAATCCGTAAATTTGATAGCAATTTGAAAGTAATAGAAAATCTTTTCTGTTTGTTCTAGTTATTAATCACATATGATTAAAGCCATAACTAGAATGTTTCAACTTGTATCCCCCCATAAAAGCATTTAAAATCATTTCAAAGGTTGATTAAGGGATATGAACTCACCTGTAGTGAGTGGTTTGGATGGAAGTACCGGATAGGAAGCTAAGTGTCAAGTGAGGACTTAAACAAACACATGGATCCTATGTAAGTAGTGATACATAAATGTATCTAGTTAGTCATTTAACAACTAATTAATCAAGTAAGGACACCCGAATACATGGAAACACTTTGATTTAAGTGCTAGGAGTACATAATGGGTTGTATCTAAAGAGAGGATGGCCTCACATTGGAGTTTACTTCTTATATGGTAACAACACATGAGTTTACGACCCATGGTCATTTTCCCCATGAGTTTATGGCCGTAAACTTATGGTAATTAGTACTATTTTGAGTTTTAAGGTCTTATCTCACACAAGGAAGTGATCTATACTTGTATCCAAGGCTTAGGAAGGGACTAGGGCTCAAAATGGCCCTTCATTGGAGTTTACGGTTCTCGGACCACTCCCTTGGAGTTTACGTTCGTAAAACCATGAGTTTACGGCCGTAAACTCATGGTCACTCCAACCATTTCGTGATTTGGGGTCTTTAGCTCATGCATGCAAGGTTCTAGTCCAATATCAAAGCCCTAGAAGATGTTGGTGGTACTTATTCACCACTTGATGGTGTTTACGGTTCACGGAGATCCCTTGACTGTAAACCCATGTGTTCTTGAGGGTTTTTGATGTTTTTCAATGGATTAACAAGTATACTAGGTAAGTAACTAGTTAGGAGGAGTGTACTTAATTATAGGAAGCTTGTAAGAGTGTTTAGGGTCCAAGAACACTAGTGTGTGTTCTTGGTGTTTTGAAGAACACTTGAAGATCTAAGTAAAAATGAAGAATTTATGGATGAAATGATGTATAACAACGAGATGAAAGGTTATAACAACAAATTAAGTGAAGAAAATCTTACATTTTTGGAAGATTGGAAGGAGAGTGTTATGATACTTGAGAGAGAAGTTGGGAGTTCTTCGGTTTTGAAAGTTGGAGAATGAAGGAATGAAGAGTAAACTCATGCTATATGCATGAGTTCATGGTCAAAGGGAGTTTACGGCCCAAAATCCTCATGTTTGGAC